ATAGCACCAGGATTTACTAGGTACAACTAGTAGACTTATCTTCCACTTTCGTGCTCATCAATCACATACTTCAATAAATCCCAATACTCATTCATGCTCTAATTCACAATCATAAGTAAAAACTAACTCTAAGCATGTCCATTACTTTTATTCATTGCTTCTTAGGCTTGGTTTCGTTCATTCTTCATCAAATTCGCCATATTTCACAAAAATACACTGTGATAATCGATTTTCACTTTTGATAATCGATTATCTCAATGAAAATTACTCATAAACATCATGGAAGAAGAGATAACCGATTATCACTTAAGATAATCGATTATCACTTAAGATAATTGATTATTCCCACAACCAGACTCAATATCAACGCACAGATAATTGACTATCACTAATGATAATCGATTATTATCGAAACGAAACACATCCTGAACATAATTCAAGTATTCAAACATACATACATCAATCCTAAATCACGTGGAAACATACTCAACAACATCACACATGCATTCAATCATCACATACCCATGTAAACATACTCAAACGCATATGATATATCACTTGAATCATCCAAAACCAATCATTTGACATGTTATACCCAATAAAACCCAAACATAATGCATATGATTATTACCACACCCTTACACATACATTTGCATGGAAAACCCCCAAGCTTAATAACTTTATTCTCCCTTAGCATCAACTCCTCTATTGGGATAATCCAACAACCATACATACATTCATAGGGAAAACCCAACACAAATATGACATAAACCCAAAACAAATATTACATAAACCCTATGTCCATGCATACATAAACTCTTGCCCAACAAGAGCAACATACCACCATAATCATAATCAGATAAACATATATCAAACAAGGGTTATTAATCAAAAGAACCAAGAACACATATAACATACAATAATAAACAAATAAAGTTAAGTTTCCCCATACCTTGGCCAATTCTAGGGCTTTGTCTACACTCTAAAACACCATCAATCTCTAAGGTTTCTGTAGTTCTTCCTCTTCTCTCCCAAAATGGCCTCTCTCTCTCTCTATCTCTCCTTCCCTCCCTCTCTTTCCCTATCTCTCTCTTTTTGTTTTAGACGTAGGTTAAAATTATGAAAACCTAGCTTCCCTTTCTCCTTTTTAACTTTTCTTATTCTATCTTTATCTTTTTAATCAAAATAATATCAACAACCACTAAATCTCTTAATTTCAGATTTATTTTCCTTTCCTTTCCTTTCTACACCTCCATAACTTAATTTTTGCTCTAATTAATGAGGATAAAATGACCTTTTTGCCCTTGGACCCAAAATACAAATTAAAACCCAAAAGTTTACTTTAACTCTCTTTCCAAAATTTGGTCCACACCTATTCAATCCTAAATCATCTTTCTACCCTCAATCCAACACATCATATTAGTAGCAACACACTACACAAATCATTTAAAAAACAATATACCAATCATATGTTCCACTTAATCAATAATAACATTAAATAATAAACATAATAATTATAATTTTAGAAAACATCTAACCATCAAACACCAATTATCAAACAATAATGTTCAAATCTCATAACCACATTATTTCCTAATTACCACATTTCCTAGGGTCTTATAGTAGCAGGACACCATTGAGTGCCACTTTTTACTATAGATCTAAAGCAATTTTAGTCCCAAGACGATAGAAGAATGTTGTAGAGCGCGAAATTTTGTAAGAAGAATGGCACTGAATGTTATGACTATCGTTGAGCGCCACCTTTTACGAAAGGTTTGGTGTTGAGCACCACCTCTATGCGCTAGTGTGTACGTTATAATTTCTTACGTTATGACTTGTTTGAGATAGATTTATTATGATTCTTATGTATGTTTAAGATGAATTATGATGTTTTGTTGAGTGATATCATGGTTGAGAATATGTTTGGAATTATTATTGAGAAAAATTCAAGGAGAAATTATGTGATGTGGTAATGTTCAGTGTATGCATTGACATATGGAGGTTTAGAAAGAAGCTATGTTGAACTCTAATAATTATTCATGTCAAATAGAGTAGAATAAGGGTTTAACCATTCTAGAGCTCCCCTTTTTTTGTTAGAAGTCGTAAATCAGTCTCTCAATATTTTTTATCTTAATTAAGTCCCTAATTTTCAACAATTTAAGTAATGTAATCATTGCGGGTAAATTGACTTAATAGTGTGGCTCAATGATGTGGAACTTTGCATTTTTAAAAGGGAGAATTGGGGAAAATTTTTATGAAGTCCTAATTAAAGGGCATTTATGATGTTATTGGTTCTTCTTTTCCACGATCTTCGTCTTCCATGCTCTTCATCTCCTTTGACCTTGTTCAACTTGGTTGTTTTTCTTCTTTGACATTGTTGATGTTAGTGGTTCATCTATTACGACATTTTATATCTTAGTTCTTATTCTTATTTGACTTTTAATTGTGGTTGTTGTTTTTCTTTGACGTTGTTGACCTTTGTTGTATTTCAATGTTGTGGTTGAAGTACTTAAGCTATTTCGGTGGGCCATTCATGTTCGTCTTCCACATGTAATGGGTGGTGAGACAAAACCCTAGTATGTGTTGTCATGGTGGTAGATGATCGAGGAGTTTAGGTATATCACCCATTTTCCATTATGGAGAGAAATCGGTTTTGAGAACGAAAACTACTAATAATAAAGAAAAAACAATTTTGGTGTTGCCTTAAGTACAAGATAAAATACATGGAAGCTTTGGTATTTGTGTTAATATTTTTTAAAAGAGGTCATTATTAGAATATTGAATCGTCATCGTTATTGTTATTTACAAAGTGGAAGTGAAGATGGTGGTTACAATTACTTTAGATGGAGCACTGAAGATGGAATTGAAGAAAGGGGTACCACTGTCAAGTGTGAAGGAATGTATGACACTTTGGAGAAGACTAAAGAAAGGGAAGGTGATAGGAAGATTATAAGTAATTTTGAGAAATATGTTAAGATTCTTCAAAAATGGATTAAGGTGTTCATAAGGGTGGTTTTTATTCTTTGTGTCAAGTATTTAAAATCATCATCATTGAGCTCTTTTATCTTTTTCATATTCATCTCCCATGTTTGTAGGTGTCTAGTTGTAGCCATCATCCACATTAGACGCTTAAGATTTTTATCAAGATATTTCTTCCTAAATTTGGCATACAAATGCCTTACATAGAATCTTTGATCAACTATAGGAAGCGGTTCTTGTATAACTAGCAGTAAGCCCAAGGGTTTTAATTCAATACAATGCAATTAGAGGTTGTATTCTGATATACGCGTAAGGAACTTAACAACCATTTTTAACAACACTAGTTATGTACAAAAAATAGAAATTGTATATGGGTATTACCTTTTATTGGTTTGTTATAAAAGTAGATTATGAACATACTAGAGCCTCACCAAGCTCATCAATCAACAACTCCATAAACCAATTCCATGAATCCATGTTCTCAACCTCAACCACAACATATGCAAGAGGCAACATTTGATTATTAAGATATAGTCGTTAACAACATCCCACGTACTTCCCTTTTAAGAAGGCTCCATCTAATCCAATTATTAACCTACATGACACGAAACTGTCTTTGCATGTCTTTAGACATGCATAAAACCTCTTGAAAATTGGTTAACCGTCCTTGTCCTCAACCTTTACTTTGACTGTTGATCCTGCATTTCTTGCAAGAAGCTCATATGAATAATCGGACACCTTTTATACTGTTTTTGAAGGACCCATCAACTTGGTCTAATGCAATTTCTTTGACCTTGTAAGTCATACATTAAGAAATATCGATGTTCATTTTTTTACTTATTTTTTCAATGAATTTTAGTCCCTTTTACTTTACCATTTTCTCTTACTGTTTTTTTCAACTTTTTGTTTAGCCATTTCGCATTAAGTAAACAAAGATTGAATTCTCTATTACATATATCGGAGTCAACTATAGTTCTCAATTGTCATATTTACACTACATCTATATAACTACAATAGCCAGACTGCGAGCATTTTCCTTTTCCATTCATGCATTTCAACCCTAATCTTCTTTTATCACTCTTAACAAGTTTTAAATTTTTACTATTTTCCAACACATAACTTTTGATGACTTCTAAAAAGTCTTTCTTTTCAACAAAATAGATACCACGATCCATCTATAATCCACCATACTTTAGCATAGAAAATGTTTCAAACCAACCACAATCCTCTTCATGACCCTGTTCTTCATCATTATCCGAGACAAACAAATTCTTTTGATCGACAGTTATCATCCAATAACCCTTTGTCATTCACCCACCAATAGTAAAAAAAAATGACGTGAATAAAATGCTAATTTTATATCTTATAAAAAGTTTTGGAAACTTTTATATGAAAATGTTGGAATCAAGCTATCATACCAAATGATAAACTTTTAATAAAGGATTAGGGCGAATGATTATTTTCAATAATTTACATTATGATTAATATATATATATATATATATATATATATATATATATATATATATATATATATATATATAAAATCCGGAAGCAGATTGAAAGATAAAAAAGGCACCACATGCATTCACAAATGATTTATATGCACAACCATCTTTAGTTATCAATTTAACTATAAAAATAAAAAAATTTACCCAATAGAAATAATTACTCTCACAAACATAAGCTTCAACCATTGATAATTACTATCTTCAAACAAGTATACATGAACACTTTTAATGATTAATTAATTCAAAAACTTAATTGTATTTACTATCATTAAAAAAATATAAAAGTTATGTAGTATGTCTAAACTATCTTATAGGTATAGGTATAGGATTAAACTCATCGAGTTAATTTGGATGAACATTTCTATAAAGATTTAAAAAAAATGAAAATCTTTTAAAATATAATTAAGTTATAAATAAACCAATTTGTAGAAACTTTCATACTTTCTCTACCATGAACTTGTAGGACACAGGTTCATTCCACACTTAGATTTGGAAAGAAATGACCCTTCTGTTCTGTGGCATATTTATTTCATAATATATGGAATATTTGAACGCAGTTTTCATGCACAGGACAAAGCATTCTTCATATGATATAATTTTTTATCCAAGGAAAACTAAAGGTAGGTGAAAACCATATACCATTATCTGATTAATCATACATGACTCTACCACAACGATCACATGCACTAGATGCAACTGGAGCAGCTTCTCTTGGCTTCTCCTTCTGCAACTTTGGAACATCAATTTCCAAAACATCAGCCAGGGCCTTAGAACCTTGTTGGATCTCATCCTCACTGCAACCATTACATCACTTTTAGTCACATCTTTGCTCTAAACTCCAAATCATATAAATTATCAATGGATATGTTTCACATAACTACAATAATGCATATGCTTCTCTTGGCTTAGGTTGTAAAAAAGCAAGATATATATCAAAAGCAAGACAACATTTCAGGCTTAAAATTTCCTCAGTAAACCAAAATCTATACAGACCAGGAATGGTGTTTAGATCATGTGCCCACCCTTAACGAAATCCAGAGGTAGTACTTTAACTATTTGTCAAACTATAATGATAACTTGGTATAAAGACATTGAATATTGTTTTCATAACTTACCTTATGCAAAGTGGTGGAGTAAAGCGGATTATAGTTTCATGTGTTGGCTTGGCAAGGACTGCTCTTTCCTTCAATTTTTCACTAAGCTCATACACCGATGCAGGGAACAAGTTTTTTCTTTTGAACTCCACTCCAATGAATAATCCTCTTCCCCGTACCTCCTTCACATAATCTGGGTATTGCTGTTGAATCTCAAGAAGTTGACCCATTAGCTTCTCTCCCATTTGGACAGATCTGTTCAATAGTAATACATCAATTGAATCAAATTAATAAAGCATTAAATGAAACTTGGAAACTTAAAAGTTTGAACACAACTAGAAAAACATTCAATGATGAGAAATGAAAGCTAAATAAAATAATTTGATGAGCATAAGCTCTGTAACGTGAGGGACTGAGTAGAAAGTTAAAGAGCAGCAGATAGAACTATTAATTCCCTACGTTTAAATTTTCTAAGCAAATAAGTTTAACATCGGGATCTCCAAAATTTGTTGCATTATATAGTACCTTCAATGCCATTCTTTTTCACACGCTCATGTAACTTGTGATTCAAAAAAAAATTATAATAAATTTTTTTCATGAAATTTTAAACATGGTCTGAAACTTATTAATGGTTTGAAATTAGAAAAATAAAGCACTGAAAATACCAATAATGAGCCAGGTTTGAAAAGTTGCGGTTACTTTTTCAGGAAGGGTGAGCAAAATAGGATCTGAAACAAGATTAGTTATTGTAAGAAGTGCAAATATTAAAGATATTGGATGAATATAAGTCCCCATCACAGGATAACCTAAATAGTTATTCAACTTCTAAAACTTACTGTGATTTATATGTAACATTTTCTAAAATGTACAAGAAACATGAAAAAAAAATTCTCCATCATCAATAATATACCCCAAGACAAGAAGATTGTATTCTATACAGTTATTCAACTACCAAATCCCAGGACCTAGTATTGACTACTGAAGCTCTTATTCCACATTCTGATGAAGCTAGATGAAATGAAAAAACACATACATGTAAATACTTTTTATTCAAGTCTGAATTTATAACAAGTATACATTGACAATATATGAGTTTGCAAAGCATTTGATACCTCTCAACTAGTTTTTCATTTTTTATCACTTCTAGTGAGGCAATTGCAACTGCACTGGCCAACGGATTTCCACCAAAAGTGCTGTGAAAAATAACAGAGAAGAAGGAAGCTTTAGCATTATTATTTTTAGCTTTCATATTTTAATAACATTGAATTATATTGCAATACATGAATTTGTTTTCTGAGTACATGAAAAGAATTAAATGCAAATCGGAAAGAAAATTTTCATGAAAGCTAAAGGATTAAAAACTTCAAAACATAAATAGCAATTGAAAGTTCTAAAATGTAACTGTGGGCTGCTGAATTAGTTTGTTAACCCAGAGGTTGTCTTCCCCAAGTGAAAATTTTCATGAAAGCTTAAGGATTAAAAACTTTAAAACATAAATAGCAATTGAAAGTTCTAAAATGTAACTGGGCTGTGCTGAATTAGTTTGTTAACCTAGAGGTTGTGTTCCCCGAGTGTTTTAGTGGGTTACTACTTTTGAATCAAGCACTTAACACTAGACCGAAAACTATATTTGGTAGTCAGGTGCAACTCTTTCTACTTAAGAACATAACAACCAAAGTACTACACTTTGATTATGACTTGGACCACTTGGACTTACACCGTAAGACAATTTATGTAACTTGCCAACAATCTCCCCTTCAACAACTACCCTACCGCAAATCAAACTCCTGACTTTGGCTTTGACACTAATTGTTGGATTAGGCACTTACCACTAAGCCAAAAGTTATAGCTAATAATCAAAGCTCAACTCTTTCTATGTAAGAGTGTAACAATCCAAGTATAACAATTTGATTTTGACTTGGCTGACCTAGCCTAAGCCACAAGACAATTCATGCACCAGGCAACAACTAATGACACATGTATTAGTTGAGGGCCTTCGTTAGTTAGATTTACTCAATGAGTCAAGTGGCTGATGATCTACATACATAAATAAACGGGTTGAGAGTAGTAGTCAGCCATGGAGAGGCAACATCATGAATAGGAGAGTCCAGGATCTCTTGAATATCCAAGGTCATTGCACAATTCTTTTGGTCTATCAATGTTAAAGATATGATTTGATTATATTACATATTGAAATATGATTTTTATTACATGAAATAGGGAAATATCTTGGTAAATATTTCATTGTTAATTATTGATGTTGTTCCTTATTGTTCTTTCTCTTCTTTATTACAAAATAAGAATACTCAAACGTGTATATAAAAACAATTATAAGAAATCCTTTCACTATGGTATTAGAGTAGTACCATCCAATGTGACCTATTTTGTTAATAATATGCTATTAGGCCATGACATTTTCCACAAAGGCACTAGCCTCATCTTTCACTCTCTAATAACCATCACACCTTATAAGCACTTATGTTATTGGAGATCCTACATCGACTAGAGATAAAACAAGTTTATAGTATACAAGTGAATGAAAACCTTACCTTAAAAGCCAGTTTTGTAGGATTGAATTAGGCTTAAAATCTAGTTTTTAATATATGTTCCCTAGCACTTTTCCTTCCTAACTATCATCATTCCCTTCAAAAATTCTTGCTCCTTAGCAATCATCTTGCCCTTCAAGCAATTTTGATCTTCCTATAATCATGTGTGCTCTCAAAGCATCTTTACTTTTCAGAAGTCACATGCCCTCCAAGAATTTCTTTTATCTCCGACACCCACCATACCCTCTAAGCATTTCTTTTCTCTCTTACCTCCAGTGGTCTCAAAGAATTTTTTTTCGCTTTGCCAACAATTGTGCCCTCAACATTTTTTTCTCTCAAGAAATTGCCATGCTCTTCAACCAGTTTTTGTTCTCCAGTAGTTGTTAACCTCTGGCAGGACCTAACAATTAAAGTCTCCCTTATCTAGCAATCACTCACTGTCTAACCTATGGCCAACAACGCCAAGTGTTGCCAATTCCTAAGCATGCCATCTTCATACACATGCACCAAATTGTTGAATAAAGCTTTGCATCATTTACTTTTTCATCACCAACAACCAATTAGTAGGGATGCTCCCTAATTCTTTCAAGGGATCTGCATTCATGACATCTGTAACAAGCGTAACTCATGTTATACATGCTCAAACCAGTGTTATCGATACCAGATAATGGAAAATAACAAAAACCAAAAATCCTTAATAAAGTTATAACGGAAACCATATTGGGTTATGGCGGAAAAAAGGTGGTCAAAAGAAATATAGTACCACCACATATAACTCCAATGCAAAAGTATTGATATTATGTTGAGAAATGGCAACAGCTGACAACAACAGCTAGCGATAGTTGGCGATGGTGGCGACAACCAACAAGCATGACGACTGGTTGTGGCTGTTGGTGGCAGTAAGCAGCAAGGGTAAAGGAAGGTTGAATGAGAGAGGGGTCACTTGAAGGGTTGGACGTTGCACAATGAGATGTACTAAATCCAGTGGTTGTTGTAGAAAAAGGGATGGTCAACAACAGTAAACAACAACGAATGACAGCATACAATGGCGGACAATGGTAGTTTTGGTGGAGCAACCCTATGTAAGACAAAGGAAGGGGTAACAACTCAACTGAGGTGACAATGGAGGTTTTGGTTTGGGTGTTTCCATCAATTCTCCATAAAATTACAGTAAGGTGAAGGATATTGATAATTCTCAGGTACAACAATATGCAGTGGTGCAATTTGTAACAGAGCCATGTGATATCTCAATATAACTACTGAGACACTATTTCAAGAACAAAAGTACAGTTGAAAATAGAGTACTATAGGAGAATTCGTGCATTCGCGTGTTTCTGTTTGACAAAGGAGGAACGGAAGCAATTCTTGGACTGTAGGGTGAAATTGGCTTAGCCACCATGCTTCAATCAAGTGAACAACTTGAAACTATGAGGTCGTTGGTGAAGTGTTGAAATGTTTGAAGGTGCGTTCCCCAAGTGTTTGGATACTTATAAATTGGTATCAAACATCAATGACTTCAAAAGGGCTTTCTATAGAGGTTGTGACATGGTATAGGGGCTTCTTATCAACAAGGGAGTTCAGTGAAGTATTATTAGAGGGAAAGTTGTTGAGACTCTATCAACATGGTGCTATAATAGGAACTTGCATATTATGGGGTGCCCAAGTCCCACATCAAGTACTGTGGGATGTTTGGTAGAGTATTCAAGTGCTTCCTTCTCCCCCCTTTTAACTAGCCTTTGAGGGTAGGCTCCCCAAGTACTTGGATACTAATCACTTTGCTATTGTTAATAGTGTAAAAGAGGATTTTTGGTAAATTGAGCATTACATCAAATATGCTTCATGCAATGGAACCTTGGGGAATTTCATTTTTTATGCAACTACATAATTTTCATCATGGTTAGTTAGTTACTTAGGGTCTATTAGTGTCACACTAAGTTTGTAAGTTGTGTGACTGCTCACAGAGGGGTTTAGTGTAGTAGTTAGTCAATTGGACAGTTAGTAATACGACTAGAAGAGTCCTGGATTTCTTAAATATAAATTTTTGTCTATGCTGGCACCGCAAGCATGAACAGAACTAGCACCGCCCCAAAAATAAAATTAACTCTATACTATATGATCCCAAGTTCCTACACAAGTGAGAGTTCAGTCTCCTTCACGTGATCTGACTGATAAAGGGGTTTTAAGTATGAAAAGTTGAGAACAGATGTCCAGCATAAACTCATAAGGTTGACAACTATAGGCAAGAAAATACAATACAAAAGGGAGCAAATTACAACGAATCATAAGGTTATAATAAAATGAACCTTCCATGCTGTCCAGGTTGTATACAAAGCATCACATCTTTGTCTGCAAGAACTGCACTAACTGGTAAAACACCTCCACCCAGTGCTTTACCGAGTACCTAAGTAAAAGAACAGTCATAAAGGGTCATGTCATGCATGGTGCTAATAAAAGTTTGCATTTTGACACAGGCAAAATATTTCCCATTTTCTTGATAAAAAATATACAATTGAGTGGACAAGTCTTTCAAGTGGAAGGTAGTTGAATGCAGCTAACACGATTTCTTACAAGCAAAGTGCAATGACAGTTTCTATTAACAGTTCAACCATATTTATAAAAAATGTTGGTAGAACTGATTGTGAGGGTTCTGCAGCTAAGAAGAGAAAAGGCACAAGTCTCCAAGGCATGTGTTTATGTTTGATTTCACCACCAATCTCTACAGAAATTATATGCAAAAGTAGGCACAAAGTAAATCTGATTTTGAACTAACCACAACATCTGGGCGAACTTCTTCCCATTCACAAGCCAGCATCTTCCCTGTTCTTCCTAACCCAGATTGTATTTCATCAGCAATCATCAAGATATTATATTTGGAGCAAAGATCTCTAACAGCTTTTAAATAACCATCTGGAGGAATTATTATCTTTACAACAAAAATATCATACATTAGAATAATGTAGAGAAGTATACTTTTGAGAAGAAAGAATATATAAAAAGTCTGCAAAATGTTATAGCCATTCTACAGGATGATATATATAAGGGTACCAAATAAGTTTTCCATAAATTCAAAGAATTTGAACAAGAAATACTAAGTACATGTTTTTCACAACATTACACACGACATATATAGAATAAAATTAGTTGAAAGATTAATAAAATGCAAAATAAAATATTAGGTTAGGTTATAAAAAACATTCTCAAAATTAGAAGAAAATAATTTCTCTTATTCAGTCTCCTTACATACATCTTATATATATACATACATTGATTGGATAATTTAAGAAACAAACTCAGTCAATTTTAGGACACAAATCCGTGAGATTGCAAGATTGATAGTAATAAAATCAAGATACAACCAATATAGAGAATTAAAACCAATAAGAATAAAATCTGAAACTTACTAAAATATCTCAATAGAATAAAATCTAAAACATCCTAACATATCCCAACAAGTAGAAGTTATTATGGACAGTCAAAAAGAAAGCAAAATCACTCATGAACCAGATGTGTTTGTTGCCCTGAATGGAGAACCTTGGATTTTAGGGTCTTTTCTTCCTCCTTTACATATACCTATGGTCTCTTCTATTGTTGCTATGTCGTTTGAGCCTTCAAAGCAGAATGCAATCTTTAACGAATTTCTCAAATGGTATCAAAGTCATGGGTCCTAGGGAAATTTATTGATTGTTGAGACTATTGTTCCATCCGCTATTAAGACGCTATTAGTTTAGTCTCACGCTCGAGATGTATATGCTTCAATGTGAGGGAGTGTAATGGAAGTCCCACATCGACTAGAGATAAGGCGATTTCATAGTATATAAATGGGTGCAAACCTCACGTTACAAGTCAATTTTGTAGGTTGAGTAGGCTTAAAGTCCACTTCTTAACATTTTTCATTTTTGCATATTTTTGTTTCATTATTTTAAAGGGTTTTTAATAGGATTTGGAGGGTTTATGAAAGGAGGAAAGGAGTTAAAAATAAAACATAATAGTTGGCAGGTTTGTTAGGACCGTTAGGAGGCAGGTTGGGTGTCTGTTCAGAGTAGGGAAAGTCTTTAAAAGGAGAAGGGGATGTCTGGGGGCGGACATGTTGTTTTGTTTGTACCTTAGTGACAAGACCAGAGTATTCCTGTGTGAAGGGAGAGGGCTCCCTTGGAAGTGTTCAACTTGTATTCTTTGTCTTCAAGAATAATAATACAAGGTTGTTTAGTGTTTTCTGTGTGTTTGGTGTTTTCTAGTGTGTGTTCTAGATTTCTTGTTCCAAGAGATCTAACAGTTTTGCTATTACAAATAAAGATGATAAGAATGTCATTGATGTGATTGTTATCAATAAAACATTCTTTTATATTCTTGCATAGTCCAAGTTGATATCAAAGCTCCCTTATCTTGAGAGCCTGGTTTTGCTGCCTCATTAAAAGTTGTCACCACCACCATTGTTTGCCATTGTTGGCAGAAAGGTGTGCCCCCACTTGCCGCCACTACAGACAGCATTGTCAAGACCTCTTTAGACAATTCCAAGGGGTGGTGACATCTCATTTCATTCCAATTTGAGTAGATTAGAATATTTTTGTTTCTTTCCCAAACAAGTTCTTTGTGATAAGTACGAATCAAAGTGACAAAGGCTTAGTTTTTTCTTTTCAATGTCTAGTATGAAAGCTTTTACAAAGGAACTTGATTGCTTAAGAACAATGACTATGTCCTTCTACTGTACCCTGAAACGTAAGAGTACATTCAATACTATTGACCTTTTGTCTTAGAGTGTTTGGATTCTTGATTCAAAAGAAACTAATCACATGACTCCTTTCCTAAACTCTTCAATTTGTATTTCAAGATGATTAGAGAACAACACATTATAGCTGCAAATATTGATAGTGTACCAAAATGCAGATATGAGAATATAACTTTATAATCATCTATTGTAGTAAAGGATGTTTTATGTGTCCCATAATAGACCAATAATATTATTTCTACAAAAAAGCTTACGAAATATTTGATTGTTCAATAACCTTTTTCTCTTCTTATTGTGTCCTTTAGAACCTTCCAACAAGGAAGTCATTTAATTGCTAAGGCGTAGAGTGGGTTGTACAAGGTTCAGAATCCTTCCTAATTCGAGCAAGATGATGTTTGAATCTAAATATGCCTCCACTCACAATCTTTGAGCAATAGTTACATTTCACTTTTCTACCATTACCACTAATATCTAGCCCATGTTTCCATCCAATATATGATTTGTTTCTCAGAGCATTTTTACTTCTACTTTTAACAAATGAGGATGCACTTGGATTAGTATCCACTGAATTTGATGCATTTCCAAACATAATGGTCTAAGTTTTTCACTACATATAATAAATTTATATAAAAAAAAAAAAAAAGAGTGCAGAGGGGCTTAGAAATTAAAAACAGTTCCAAACAGATAAAAAAAACAGACACGAGTAACATGGACTTAGATAAGTGAAATCATCTTCACTTACACAAACAATGCAGAGGATGAGAGCAAAAGTGAGATTGCCCGACCAGCAAAGGAGACACGACCATGGATGATGGCAAGATGGTGGCTGACAGCTAACACAAAGGTCACAGACAGTGAACGAGGCGACCAAGGACGACAGAGAGATGATCCGCTAAGGTGAGTGTGATGGCCAGAGAGAGAGGCAAGGGCAAGAGAGAGAAAGGACGGTGACGAGATGTAACACGATGGCCAGATATAGTGATGGCCAGATACAGTGATGCAGCTCAACAAAGCGAAGAAGGGGCTTAATATCAAAGCCCTAATCAGGTCAGTTTTTCCCTCAAAACGACTTCATTTTTGCTTCATTTTTTTCTCTTTCAAGCTTGCAAAAAAACTGCTAACTTGCAATTTCACACGATACTTGATTCTGTTGATTTTAGTTGAAAATAAAGTTTGCTTTCAAATTAACTCGGAAGCCATGTCTAAGAATGTTAATTGGTCTAAGCTAACTAGTTAACTCGTCTAAGCTAACTAGTTAACTCGTCTAAGCTAACTAGTTAACTCGCGAGTTTGATAACCATGCATATAACTAAAAATGTAGAAATTGCACCTTTATCTAGGCATTATGTATTTTACTAAAATATGCAACATGGAAAGATTTCTGTTTTGGTATACAGGGGAAGAAATCTAATTGAAAACCATTAAAAGGATTAGTAACAGAACAGATAATAGAGGATTGCACTGCTCTAGTCATGTGGAGAAGAGAGAAACTGAAAAGGAATATAATGAAAATCATGCCTTAGGTACACAATCAAGTATATTCTTATAATAAAGAAGAGATAGAATAATAAGAACATAATCAATATTTAATTATGAGAAATATTTGGTAAGAAATTTCCCATCAAATTATATCATACCTTCCTTTTTAATGTAATCAAAACATATCTCTGACAAAAGAATATCATGTCTTTTCTGTAAGTACTAATGTCAGTAAATAGACTAGAGAAAGATATGGATACATAGCAACTTCCTTAGCATATCAATTCAATCAAGACATCTGTTACCAAGCTCATTAAATATGCAATTTAAAAAAACTTACCCCAGCTTCACCTTGGATAGGTTCTAAAATAAATGCAGCTATGCATTCTCCTTTTTCTGCAGTTCATAGAGAAAATTCAAATTATAAACCTCCAAGATCTCTCATGATAAAGCAAACTACTAATTAGAAGGAATAAGAATACAGCACAAAGCAGAACCTTTAAAAATTCTTTCAAGGGCATCAGCATCACCAAAATCAACTTTAATATGGCCAGGTAATAAAGGACCAAAACCACGGGTAGCTTCATTATCACAGCTCATAGATATGACCCCTAATGTACGACCATTGAAGCAGCCACAACATGAGACAATAATAGCCTGAAACAAATGTCCATGAGTAAAACGACTCATGATAAAACTACTGAACAGATTCTCATAAAAAGTACGATGGAAATAGCATAGTAGATGGCTGTGCTCAACTACAGCAAAATATCTTTCAGCCTCTAAAATTGAATAGTGAATTACGGACCTCATCACCACACTACAAAAGTAGAAAACTAAACATGAGTTGTTAAACTTTTTACATCATATTAAACAGAAAAGAGGATGACAAAATAAAATTCCTACATTTACTCTTTGTACTGGAAGAATACCATATGTTTAGCGGTAAAGAATTATACATCTCTGTCTGCAACCAAGAATAGAGAAGAGAAATAAAAGAAAGTTTTTTTATTGAACAGAATGAAAAGAACAAGAAATAGGAGAGAACTCTCTCCTCCAAGGGTTTCCCCCTTCACAAAAAGATTTCTCCTTTCAGAAAGAGCTACTCAGTCTGCAAAATGAACATCGTGCGTTCTCCTATCCTTCTTCCCCTATTTACATCTAACTAACACAAGTAACTAACTAACTCATTAATACTATATTTAACTTAACTAACTTCATCTCCTTACACCCTTACATTACACCCTTCCTAAAATTCAACCTTGTCCTCAAGGTTGGAATGTGCTTCATCACCATGATCTTCATCTTTCGGCCTAAAACCATCACAATGCTTATTCTTATATGAATGGAAACACACTGTTACAGCACGCAAACACATGCTGGGTGACTTGGGCAGTGGTCGAAGCAAGCCTATAATAACATGAAGAACTATGACTGCCTCTAAGCCTTCCTTTCATTGACTCAATTGCTAAGTTATCATCCATAATGCAATAAAGTTGCTAAAGGCTCACCCAACTAGTTGCAATTCTAAGATTCCAAAACCAATGATGTTCCAACCACCTTCATGATTGAATCTAACAGAGAATTTTAATTTTAATTTTGAAAGCAAAAGATATTTGGTAGTGTGTACCTTCAACTTCCTTTTTGATTAATTCTACAATTGGGTTTTCAAGAAACTGATCGTCACTCTCTTTATTGATGCCTCAACTTCTTCCACAATCATAATCTTTGTTTCTCTTGCTAATTTCACCTCATTTTTGGATTTCTCTTCACTGCAAGGGGTGTGATTCTTGATTATTGAACCATCTTGATTAGAAGAACACTCTCTCCCCCAAGGATTTACCTTCAAAAAGGATTTTTGTCCTTTTGAAAAGAGCTAATGCTCAATCTACAAAATGAACATCCTTCCCTTCTCCTATCCTCGTTCCCCTGTTTATATCTAACACCTTAAGTATTTAACTAACTAATAAATATTCTAACTAACTAACTTCTCCTTCTTTTTATACTGTAACAATCTCACGGATCTAGTTTGCAAAATTATTGTACGAATATGTCACCCAATTACCAAGAAAAAAGAGAAATTATACCCGGTAATTAGATTTGTCATGTATGCTGGATTCAATGTTATGCATCTTTAGACAATTTTATTTTCCATATTACAGCTATGAGAATTGAGAAACTCTGTTTATCTATTTTAACATACACAACCTACAACATGGCCTCAAATGGTATGGTAAATACATTTGAGAACGTCTAAACTGTTATAGTACAGACATGTAAATTATAAGATTTTAGTACAATCTACCATTAAAAATAATTATGATTATTGAATCACTACCAATGGCCCATATAAAGTAAAGATGCAGTAGTTGGATCCTAAAATTATGCAAAATTCTAACATATGATATCAAACTATTAGCATGCATTATCTGATATTTATACCTCATCACTGGGAATCCTTTTCTTTTCATAACCCCACTTTCGTGCTAATTTCATAGCTGTTTCCACACCTTCAGCACCAGTATTCATAGGAAGTACCATATCATAACCAAACATGGTTGTCACGTACTCTGCAAAGAGTGGAAAACGATCATTATAGAAGGCTCGAGAGCTCACGGTCAGCCTTTCTGCCTGTTCTTGTAACGCTTTCAGGATTTTAGGATGGCAGTGTCCCTAAGGGAAAATAAAAAGCACTTATGTTATTAGAACATCTATACTAGTTATTTTCCCAAAAATAGAGGAATAACAAAAGAAAAAGTAGTAGCAACAGTACAAGGGATCTGGTCAGAGTTAATAGACTCATTCCATAAAGGAAGCAAAAAGGATGTAAATAAGAATAATTATTCATTACAGCACCATTCTCAAGAAAAATTATGATCTGGAGAATTGTGAATTACCAAGATCCAGTCGATTGTACCTGATTAACAGCAGAATAACCAGCAAGAAAATCTAGATATTTGTTTCCCTCTGGATCCCAAACAGAGGTTCCCTTCGCTTGAGAAAATACAATCGGAAGTGGATGGTAGCTGCATTTGAAACAGGAACAATCATTTTAATATTACACCAAAATAAATTAATTAAACCCATGAACAATCTATGGAACTCAGTTTGTGAAAAGAAAAGACACTTAAGCAAGCACCCAAAAGGAAGCTATGCTCAATACCAACCAAATAAGCTGACAGCCAAGAATAGCAAATTTCCAGCATCCTTCTATATGTCAAAATACTCAGAACAGACCGACTGAGGCTGTTTATTAATTGATAATGTTTTAAGAACACTTGGGACACAAAAGAGTTCAAAAAGACAAAAATTCATTTTTTCCGCAATGTTGGCAGAGTTCTGCGGTACTAAGTACTATTTTAAGCTTAGCTGATGAAAAAAAAAACAGACTAAACAACGTGATTACATTGAAATACAGTTTTTTTATCACACTTTCAGATGACCACTAATGATTAGTTTTATGTTTTCTTTTTATAATGAACAATTCAAAATCTTATATCATTCATTCAATCTACGGAGGTTTAACCTGATCCAAGCGGTATAATATCAACAGATTAGAAGTTACAGAGAGGAGGAGAAAATAAGACAAGCCCAGAAGTCAAAATCTCGCCTTTCGTGCGTAGCAACATGTGGTGTTCATTGAAAGACGAAAAGAAAAAGAAACGTACTTGTGAGCACTGTGTTCATATTCCTTGTCGATGATTCTCTGAGAAGAAGAGGAGGAAGCGTTAACTTCAGTGGCAACCCCAAAACTCCTGCTTCCCTTGCAAATCTTTCTTAGCAAACATTGCACCGGTCTCGTTGCAGCCATTGATGTGATCCAAAGGTTTCCCAAATTCCTTGTATTCAAATCTTAATAATATGAAAGTACTACTTTGTTCTTACAATGTTCACCCAACTTTTTTTTATTTATTTGTCGTGTGCTTATGATGCGCCCAGGAGTGAAAAAGATAGGAAATAGGTTAAAAAGACATTTTAATATATTAATATATTAATATATAGACAACAAAGGGGAATGCTGGCACGGTTCCCCTTTTTATTTTCCAGCACACTCTACACTTTAATTAAACTAGCATTTTAACCCGTATTTAAAAAAATAAGAAAAATATCTTTATAATATAAATTTTAGTAATAAAATTATTATATTTTACTACATAAAAATAAATAAGTTTTATAATTTAAAATATATTTAATACTAAATTAAAGTTACTTCATAATTGTAATAATTAAATGAATTTATTTTTTAATAGAAAAAGAGAAAAACAATTAATTATACCTAAATGGACTATATATTTCGTGAAATTGTTTTTGATATTTATAATTTATAATATTCTCACATGAATTTAATTTCATTCTATCAATCAGAACCACTTAAAAATATTTGAAATTTGTATCCAAACAAAGACTTTGAAACATTAACAAAATAACATTAGTTGTTACCTAAATAAAAAAATGTAAATAAAACAAAAAATGATGTTTTTTTATGTTTTTACTCTACAAATAATTACATTTGACCATATGAGGAAAAAATAAAGTTCAACTTTAGAAAGTCGTTGAACTTAGCTTGCTATTACAAGATATAAATAAATAAATAAATAAATAAATAAATAAATAAATATATATATATATATATATATAAAGATGTCTTATTTAAAATTTTAAATATATTTTTAGTATACATATTTTGTCATTAATATTTTACCGATATTTTTACTCAATCCATTAACTTATTATTTGCTTTATCAATGTTTTTAAAATATAATGTAAACTATTCAATTTATTATTGGCAAGGTGTGTCAATTACACTATCATCAATAATACATGAGAAATCATGTATATACAAAAATATAAAATTAATTTATTACTTTTAACTCTTGTATCTCAATATTCTTTTCATATCCTCATTTAAGTCATATTAAAATATAAAGATTATAAAGTAGTAATAAAAATTTTAGTTCTAATACATTTATAATTACGATTTTAGTATATATAACTTCAAGTCAACTATTATATCTTTAAAAAAATATATAGATTTTAACAAGATAAATATTTTTATGTCATTTGAAACAACAAATTCTCTGTATTTAACTTCAAATTTATAACAAAATAATATTATAAAAGAACGAATATTAATAATTCAATAATATACATATAAATTTTTAAACTCGTCTCATTATCAAAAACACTTATAATCGCTTTAGAAACATTTCTCTTAATTCTTTCTACATTCTCTCTAAAATTTCTAACACCTAAATCATCTGTTTAACTAAGAGGTTTCTGAGTAATCACAGTGGAGAATCCTTCCTTTCTATCTGATCATTTTTCCTTATAGAGCAAGCAATTTTATACTTCTTTTTCCTTTTATTCTTCGGTCAAATTCATGTGTAGGAGTTATCTTCGCATGAGTTAGATTAGGTTTCTACCTATCTCCTTATGGATCAAAGGTCCTAAGGACTTCCTCTAATCATGCTTTTGTAGTTTGTAGGTTTCTCTAGAGTTCCTTGAGCTTGAAGCAAGAGCAGCATGTTGTGTAGTGGTAGTTTCATTATTCAAACCCCTAAGTTTCTCTAAGGACTTGTTTAAACCCCTAAGTTGCTTGATGAAGAGTAATAATTGGTATATTTGAGTTTTGGTCCATAAAGTGGTAATTGAGTTTATTTTGGGTGGAATTTCATGATAGAATACAGTTGTTGTGTATATGTTTATAGTTGTGTATATTTCTTTTTAATAAACTTCTATCTACATTTTAACTCTTACGTGTAAAGAATTGTGTTAAATAATATTTTATCTTCTCTTCTATATAGTTACTCTTGGATAACTGTAAAAGTTCATATATGTTTTTCTCATGATTGTTCTATTTTTATTAATGTGTGATCTATTATATGATAATGTTAATACTATTAAAAATTAGGATTAGAATCATCTTAAGTTGAGTTATTGTGAGTTTTAGTATAAATTATAGGTTTTGCATGGTGAAAACTTGAAAGTTTGGGATGGGATAACAAGTGTAATTGGATTTGGTTAGGCAGTTGGGAAACTGTTATAAGTGATTAAAAGTGTAGAAATTGGGTGGCACGGAGTAAGATGGGTGGGTGGGTAAACGTTGACAGCGGCACTCCGTCGGAGAAAGGACTGCGACGCTCTGAGAAAGACGAACCACAATGATTGGGTCGATGAGTAGACGTAAACGACAATAGCTCAAAATGCACCTTTGTCGATAGCGGTTCCAATCAAAGCTTCCAACACCACTGGTCACAAGAACGGACACCACTTCCTCACGCGTAACTCTGGCGGACCACGCTTGCACCGACACATTTCTGGGAAGAGGCAGGTTGGCTGGGTAGCAGGGAGTGAGACTCACTCTAGGGTTCGTTTTTTCTCTCTAAGCTTGGGTTCTCTCTCACACCTTACCTCAAATTCAAATTCTGAAGAGAGAAAATGAACCTCCTCACTTTCAAACCCTTTCCTCAATTCTCTTTCCACGTCATTCTCATTTTTAAATGTTGTTTTTCACGTGGATCACTCACATTTTGACACGTGATTAGTGTCAAAATGTTGTCAAAGTATTATTATCCAAAAAGTTAATATTAAGTAACTTCATTTGATTATTAAAAGATTGCTAGAAGTTAATCTAAATAAGTCGATAATTAAAATTTATATGTTACATTCTACATTTTTTTTCCTTTATAACGATCACAGTTGTTTAAATTTAAGATGAGTAATTTTGAAATCCCATTCTTTTAAAAAATAGTATTTATCCTTAAACAAATAAAAAACTTTATTTTTAAAATCAGATAAACAAACATGACAACCAAAAATTTACTTTTTATATTTAACAAATAAACAGAAATAAATCATCAATTATCTTCCTATCGCATTCATTTTTTATTGCATAGCTGAATCTCCAGGAATTAGGTTGCGTGCACGTACCTAACTCATAACCTCCACCTGTAAGTGCTTCCTACGTTGGATTTCCACACTCCGGCACTACACAAGTATAAATAACCAGATAATTTTTAAAATTAGTGGGAAATAGAAAAAATGTGTCTCTATATTTTCTTAAAATAATTAATAATTGTATACAGGAAATATAAATAGGTTATAATATACTGTTTTACTGAAAGATATAAATATTTAGGTAATGCATTATGCTCATAAATTTTAAAATATAACTAAATAAAATAAAAATGGGAAGTCTTTACATTGACAAATCTCTTTATGCATATTATTACTGCCTTTCAATAATTTAATTTTAAAGGAAATTCAGATATTTGATACGTTTAAAATAAATTTTGGAATAAATATTGATTACCAAAAGCTTAATTCGAGAATGTTATGCGAAGCATTACCAAATTTTAAACTGGAAAATAAAATTACACAAACCCTACCCGTCTAATTAAATTTCGGCATTTTCAATTAATGTTTATCCTTCACAGAACTAAGATTCCTTATTAATGTTTAAACCCTAATTGGTTAATTCATCACTAAGGATTTACGATTATTCAAACTAAAACTTAATCGCGTAGTTGCATAAACCTCAATTTTTGAAAGAATACAAAATTGATATAGATACTTCAACAAGATACAATCGCACAAACGCCTCCAATTAAATTATTCAAAGATTTAATATTGTAAAATGATAATACATTACTTTCGAAGCACTACGCAGTGGACAATACAAAAAAATGCTAAGTCATAACAAATTATTGAAAAATATGTATATATATATATATATATCTAGACCCTGAACACTTTATATATTATTCCTTCCCGACCCGACAGAACACCCCTGACACGTGTACCCCCCCCCCCGAGATGCTTTGCGAGCTATATATATATATATATATATATATACACACACACACACACACACGATGCAGAGATTTATATTTGATTTCTGATTAATTAGAAAGTCATAACAAATTATGTAAAAGAACGAGTTAAACAAAATAAAGTGAGGAACCGTTCAGTTTAATTGATTAGTAACGATCTAGAAAAATATAAATGTAAAAAATCAAAAGGATTCTGCGGCTAACATTTACTATTTAGGGTGGGGGTGAAATCCAACTAATCAAACTACACACAAGGACAGCTTCATAAACAAAGTAATCATAATTAACAAGTATAATTCAAGACAATTAACAAGTAGATTTCTAATATTACCTTCCACAACGTACTGGCCCCCAATAAATCATTTGGTCAAACTATACCTCCAAAGATAAAATGTCGCAGAGCACATGAAATTATACCCAACTCAACTTAAACCAGGAATCTTTAGTGATAAGAATACTACCGGAGTTCAAAGCTTGTGCGGAAAAAGAATGGACAGTTTTCGTACAGGATCAAGAATGAGGTCTTACTATTAAGAAAATTACATCTAGACAGTTTTGGAAATACAGCTAGCTAGAAAAACGGGAGAATTAATCCACATGTGTAGTATATCCTTTTACCGATTGAAAATATTAACGAACATAATTATGTGAAGATGATTGTGGCGGCGAGAGTTTCAAACTTTGAGGAAACGCAAAGGTTTGACATTATCCCAGATAGGTATCAGGTAATTCGCACATGCTAGAATGAGGTTCGTCGTATTTTGGGCAGCTGATGTTGAAATGGGGCGACAAGTAATCTGGACGAGACAAAGGTCAACACAAGATGGCACAGCACGGATGAAATAAGGGATATGTTTCTGAAATATATTACCCAATCTTGTTGCATACTACAATTTAGACATAACAGACCCCAATCTTTGTCCACAAATTAAATTTTACTAGGGTTGGATGAAATCACAAATTCTTTAGCAGAAGTTTACCCAAGTCACCTTAACTAAAAAATCAAATTGAATTGGAATACTAAAATAATATATGCTGTAAAAAGGAAAACAAATAAGTCAGAAAGAGAATAATCCGGTATATAAACTCATCAGCCACCCTTG